CTTGCAATGAAATCAAATCAATCATTTTAGCTGTTTTCTAAATCTGTTTCATGTGTTGTGCTACTAAATAATAAAAACCATTTATTTTGCTTCACAAAATTCTGTAACACTTATTTACAACTAGAAGCCATTGAAAAAAGTCATTCAGTTCTTTATCTCTACCCTACTCCAAATTCTCTTTGCTATTTCTAGAGATCTACAGAAAGATACTTTATCATTTCCCATCACACACAGTATTTATACCAAATCCTCGACTATTTTATTAAATCTTTAAAATAATCTTGTTAATATTAACTTGAAATCATAAATGATTTTGCTTTCTTCCTCAAATCCCAGCAATAATCCACACCACATAACAAACAGCTTCCAATAAACAGGCAAACCATTCTCCTTCCAGCATCCAGCTGAATCCTTCCCACCATTCTTGACACAGAATAAATCCTATTTTTCCCTTTAAATCTTCAAATAGCAAACATCTTGAACATTTAACAACAACAAAAAAAAGTCAGCTCACAGTCTTATCTCATTTTACCATGTCTTTCATATCGAGCATTTTGTAGATTTCAAGACATTTAACAAAAATGTAATTCAGACCTACTATTTGCAAGATTCTTTACATATTAAATATATTAAACATAAACAATATACTTTAAAAATGTTAAATATATTAAACATAAATAATATACTTCAAAAATATGTTAAATATATTAAATGTAAATAATATACTTCAAAAATATCACAAATTTAGTATTATTTTCTTCATTTTATCAATGAAAAGACTGAGGTTCAGAGAAGTAAATTATTCAAGGTCACACACAGCTAGTATGTAGCAGACAGAATCTGAAACCAGGTCCATGATCACCACTAAAATTTGCATTCCTTCATAGTCTGTATTGTGGACATACAAAGACTCATAGTATGTGACAGACTATTATTTAAGGATATAAAGTACTACAGGCATAAAGTAAAATAGGAGTATTCTAAAAGCCTTTAAGGAATATATAATGAAATAGGAATTATAACTTAAGAGTGACTCCATAAGAGCTAAAAATAAAGTGCTATGAAAGTTCAGATAAATTACCATAGGTGGAAATGGGAGGGTGGATCAAGATAGGCTTCATGGAAGAGCTGTGGAGGATGGCTAGAATGTTGACAAGGGAAAGAAAACATTCTATAGGAAAAGATCCCTTGAGCAAAGTCAAAGTAATACTGCCTGAGGCTAAGGGGGTGGTTTGTTCAGGTAACCGCAGTTTCCTAGCTTGACTTTTAAAATACAATTTACATAGAATAGTGAAAAGTAAAGACTGATGGTAGCTCAAGATCTGGAGAGCCTCAAATGCCTTCATTTCTGCTTCTAATCAACAATGGATAGACAAAGGCAAAACAGGTCTATACCGACCTCCTAGTTCATTTCATATTTCATCTTTCAGATTGCAATCTAGCTTTCATATCACTCATTTCCGGACCAATGTATGTACTCTCTACTCAACTGCAATACTTAAAGTGGTTACTCTAGAATTTCTTTTTGAAACACCGCTATAAAATTCCTACCTGCCCTTTTTATCAATGAATAAACACCTCTCCATCTGTTGAAGATTAATGAGACTGTGAGCATAAGCCCTTTTGTACCTGATTTTCATCAGTGATCTTATATATTGTTTTCTTATTCCCTAAAGTTGCAGAAAAAAAAAATTTCTTCTTTAAGGCAACCATCCCACCTAAACTCTAGAACAAACCCTTAATCATTTCCTCTAGAAGCTAATTCCTATAGTTTCTTCCCTTTATAGCAAGATTTGCATACTCAAAGGTCCCAGATAAGACAGAGGGTATGAAATAGTTTATACTATGGATCAAAACACGTAACTCATTATGCTGTTTTTCAAAACACTCTGGGAACTATATACACATACACACACACACACACACACACGTGTGCGCGCGTGCCATATATAGCCTGCTGACCTTCCATTTTGAAATCTTTACTATATTACATCTTCAGGTCCTATCTTTATTCTGTTTACCTGTCTGTCTTCCCCATTAGATCTAGTTTCTTGAACACAGAAGCTGTGTTCATCGTGCAAAAGAACATATAAATGATTTATTATAATATGTTAAATATAATGATAGAGTGATAAACATGGTGCTATGGGAAAGAAGGAGTTACCCAGGACAGCTTCTCCTAAGATTGACATGAAGCTTAATCTTGATAGATATTTAGGAGCTTGCTGGACACACTAAAGAAGAAAACAGCATTCCAGCTCAAAAAAAAACAGAACAAGCTCGATTTAAAGGTATTAAAGAAGAAGATATGAAGGAATTGCCAAGTGTTCCTGTACAGATAGAAGACAGGCACCAGTAAAAATGAAGCAGGAGATGAAATGAGAGAAGTAGGCAGGGATGAGATCACAAAGTACAACAGGCAGCCATTTGAAGGTTTTGAGGAGGGAAATACAGTTGTCTCTTTTTATCCAAGGAGGTATGCTGCAAGACACCCAATGGATGCCTAAAACTGTAGATAGTTCTGAAACTCTATATATAGTATGTTTTTTCCTATGCAGACAACCCTATAATAACACTTAATTTATGAATTAGGCACAGTAAGAAATTAACAATCGCTAATAACATAGAACAATGATAATAATATACTATAATAGAATTATGTGGGCCAGACGTGGTGCTTCATGCCTATAATCCCAGCACTTGAAGAAGCCAAGGCAGGTAGATTGCTTGAATTCAGGAATTAGAGACCACCCTGAGCAACATGGCAAAACTCCATCTCTACAAAAAAAATACAAAAACTAGCTGGGCATGGTGGCGCGTGCCTGTAGTCCCAGCTACTCTAGAATCTAAGGTGGGAGGATCACTTAAGCCCAGGAGATCAAGGCTGCAGTGAGCCAAGATTGTGCCACTGTACTCCAGCCTAGGCAACACACTGAGACCCTGTCACAAAAACAAAAATTATGTGAATGTGATCTCTCTCAAAATGTCTTAGTGTACTGCACCTCAGGTAACTGAAACAGAAAATGAAACCGCAGATAACAGGGTACTGATGGAGCAAGATCTTTGGTAACAATGTAGAATATGCAAGGGTGGGTGAGAGACTGAAGACAAGACTACTCAGTAGGCTACAGGAATCACAAGGGTGTTAAATGATGACAGACTGAACTAAGGAAGTAACAGTGTAGGTAATTAGGGAAGAGCGTTGGTACGAAAACTAGACATGCAGGCTGGTTCCAGCCCCTATTAAAATAAGCTAAAAATCTCTTGATCTCCCCAAACTCCCTTATTTAACCTCACCTAGTCCTCAATTTAATATAAATCCTCACTGACTCACTCAAAAATCTCCTAGGTAGCTTCCCAAATAAATCTATCAGAATCCAGTACCTCTTAAAGTGTGAAGTATACTACTCAGACTACCTTAACAGAATTTCTGGAGGTGCTAGATAAAAATGCAGATTTCTTGGCCATATCCCAGACCACATGAATCACAATCTTCGTGGAGCAGGACAAAATTTGCATTTTTATGTACTTTCCAGTTTAAGAAACATTAGCCTAATCCAGCCTATCTACCTATCAAATTTATTTTCCTTAAACACTGCTTCCTTCCATCATATGTTACCTCCTCGATCAAACTAATTTATAATTTTCTGCCTGGACTTCAAGACCCTCTTTCAACTTGATTTTTTACTCTTTCCAATATACATTCTTTGTTTCAACAAAGTCAACCCCATCTCTCACTTCCCTCTTCTCTGCCTCCACACACGTAGTTTGGTTCTCTCTCTAGGCCTTTGCATTTAATATTACTTCCAGAACCTGAGAGCTTCTCCAAAGTCTCTCCTCCCTAGCCAAACCCCAGCCATTGTAACTAACTCTGAAAGACCAGTTTAAGTGCAGAAATTTACACAGATTTTTCTCTAATTACTCCAACCTTACTTCTCTCTCCTATTTATGAATTGCTATTAACATTTATAGCCAGCATGCACAATTTAAGGCTTGATTATTTCAACACATATCAACTAGGTAATCTCATTCTTACTTTCCAGTCATCAGTGCACCTAGAATAATTTTTGGCATATAATAAACATTAAATAAATATTTGTTGATTTTTGAAATTATATTGAAAGAATGATGGCTTTTCCCCCTAGATGTCAGGTGAATTTTAAAAAACGAGCAAAATAAAGAAAAAAGGAAATCCATTTTTAAAAGCAAAACAAACACATTCACTATTCTAGATATCTCAGTACTCGATGATGTTAAAGATAATGTTTCCTACCACCTTGTTCTCTAGAGAGTGCTTGGTCATGAAGATAAGGTAATTACAAATAGCTCTCAATCACAATATAGGCCACTCTGGGCATGTTATATAATAGTGTATCATGTAATTATAGCACTGAAATATAGTGCCGTGAATATAAAACCTTTAAATGACAGCCAAGGAAAGAACCCAAAAAGATAATTTAAGCTAATCATTTCAATTTATCCATTTAATAAGTGAACACTAGAGAAATTACATGACTTGCCCAAAGTAGCAAAGCTGATTAGTAGCATCCAACAAAGACAAGCACCCAGGCCTCCTGACTTCATGAAAAGGGTTATTGTCATTACTCTATGTGCTCAGTAATACTGAAATCAAAGTGACTTATTTTAGTAAGAAATCCTGTTAGCACAAACCAACATTTTAGGATTCTCCTCCTGATAAATTGAGGTAAAATGTACAATTTCTTCAGAACCATAAAGACTAACGGGCATAATTCCAAAATAAAATGTGAAAACTTCTAAGATAAACATACAAGCATATTCTAGTTCTAAAACATATCCCAAAACCACAGGAAAAATACTTGGCCAGGCTAAATTATAAACACCTGATCATAATATTCATCTCATTGCTTTGGTAAACTATACACCAAAAGAACCAAACATATAAAACACTATAAGCAAATATCACAATTAACAAAACCACAAATTTATATCTAAGTGTAAAACACATCTTTTGTACTCACCGTAACTTTACTTCCAACTATCTGCATGCAGTGGTCAACGAAGAATGGTTATGGTGTAAAAAAAAAAACAAACAGCAACAATATTAGTAGTCAGAAGCTTTTCACAGAGGTTAAGTGTTTAGTAAATTAGTAAATAGCTAATCCTATTTATGTTTTTGATACTTTAGCTCTACAGACTAAAATAGATATATCAATATTAATTTCTACTATGTTTCAAAAATGTGTAAAGTCTACAGAATAATTCTTAAATAAGTGATAATTACTATTCGAGGATTTTTAAAAATGTACTATAATAGGCGCCTCATATAGTACAATCTAAATATCAAGTTATGCAAGGTTCAGTGCAATCAGGCAGATTTTTTACCAGCTCATAGCCCCTGAAAAAACTATCAATAGAAAATTGTTTGTTCTTTTTTTCCCCAATATTGCCTTTTCTTTTCTTTCCTTCTTATGGCAGTACGCTATCAAGGCTGAAATAGTACACCTTCTTATAGCAGGTATACAATTAAGGTATTTTAGAATATAAATGTTACATTAAAGTCATGCATTAAGTTCAGAAGTAAACTTTAGGTTGAAAAATATTTTTTATTGTTATGAATTTAAGGTGTATAATACTGTTTTATATCGAACTTGAAAATTATAAAAAAGATAGATTGCTTATTATTCTAGTTTTCTAGGTAATCTTAGCATTTCTATTATAAGATCAGTTTTCTACATAATGTGAAGACAAAGAAGCACTTTACATCTAAACATGCACATGTTCAGAAAGAGGAAATAGTTCAAAAACTGCAGCTTCAATACAGCTTTCCTAATGGATAAGTGATAAAAGAATTTCTGAGAGGCAGAATTGTGTTTAAGAAAGCAAGAAGTAAACTCATAGTCCTAAACATAATTTTATGCAAAAATACGAATATAAATCAAACTACTGTTATCAGATTCCCACACTTGAATATCAAGCAGGGTCCAAAAAACAGTTAAGCCACAATACAAAACCATTAATCCAATAGCAGTTATCAAAATGTGCTCTATTTTTTAGCTAGTACTTTAAAAATAAAAATCACATTTAATTGAAACCCTGGTAAAAATCCTATGTTGAATAGGATATCATAAAATACAAAAAGATAATGACAGTTTCCAAGTAAATTATTTCAGAAGAATCCATGAATCTCAGAATAGAGAAGCAGCTTTCTTAAATATTCATTCAGCAGACTATTTCCAAGCAGTGATTATTTAGTTGAATAAAAGCCTCTTTGGTGCCATTAACAGTCCTCTGAATTAAAAGATATGCTATTGACCTAAATTATTTCCTCCCACCAAAAAGACAGAGGTCGTATTTGTCCCTTGTTTATTTAGCACAGACATGAGACTTAAAAAAGAACGTGAGCCTGCATTAACAATTAAAGCAAGTCTATATACTCAGTGAAACAACCAGAATATGGTCCCTTTAATGATTGATTTACATTGCAAAATAACTGCATTTAGCTAAAGCACAAACAGCAATAGATAAGCGTTAGTACCTAAGAGAAGCTAAGAGAAAATATTTTGGCCATGTCTGGGTTCAACAGTTTGATGATATCCAGACCATACCCAGAAAAGACCTGAGAGAGTTCATCTGATAATTACAAAAGCAAAACCGTAATACATGTATACACATATAGATACACTGCAATTTTAACTACTCATGATACTGTTCAGTGTAACAAATATGCAGATGTAGCTGTCATCAGTATTTTAAATTATTTCCTACTGAGATTTAAAAAGAAACAAAAAAGTGCTGCCTCTCAATGGTTTACGTCTTAAAAAACATAATTTTATGTATTTTAAAATTTCAAAGATTATGATTTAAATTCTAAATAAACTAGTCCCTTAATATTCTAGGAATGACATTGGCATTTGACAAACTAATGTTGGGGCTCAGTGAATAACTTTTCCTCATAAATGTCTATATATGCTGTTAAGTACCTGTGAGATCCCCTCTGAATTACCAACATATTGTGTCCTCAAACTAGCAACATATTGTTTCAGGATTACGGTAGGACAACTTTTACAGTATTAACAAAGTTTGGTTTTTCATTTTCTGAAAACATATGCTGGTGTTTTGAAAACATAGACTCTTCCAGGTTATTTGTGTGTAGGGCAATGGCCCCACAGGGTCGTGGGGTGTCCCTTATGCTGTGCTGAGTGAGGCACAGGATCCAATAGATAGAGATAGGACACAGAAGTACAAGGAAAATGCAGCTAGGCTCGGGGGGCCATGCCACCTATAAGTGGAGACAGGCGAGGCCCCAAATGTCCAGAAGTGTCTGTATTTATTGGGTATAGGTTATGGACAGGGTAGTGAGTGAAGTCATCTTTAAAGATAGTGATAGGCTTGTGAGCAATATAACAAGGGGTCCACCCCCATTAGGTCACCGAGGCATGGAGGTGGGCGGTGCGCAGAGAAGAGGGTGCAGTGCGCAATATCTCTTATCTATGGGCATGCTACTTCTAAGAATATAGGAGGATGCGTAAGTCACACAGAAGTGAGGAGGCCTCGGGGTCTACCGCCACCTGCTGGCAGCTTCCAATGAGTTCTATAGGAGGATCCTTTTGAGCTAACACAGTTACAAGAGCTGATAAAGTTCACAGTCACCGAGGTGCAATTATCCAGAGGGGTTTTGAGCCCTCGGATGCTCGAGGATGGCCAGTCTAACGGCAGCCTTCCACAAGAACTGGAGCAAGGTCCTACAACTCCTTTATCAGGAGGAGCGGCTCTTGCTCCAAGACCGCCATACAGCAAGTATCATTTAGATACTGAAACGCTGCCGCCTGGGCCATGGATTCTCATCATGGTATAACTGTTTCTCCCTTAAATCATGCTCTGCACTTTGTCTGCTCCAGACATTCCTCCAACTATAAGCTGCTTATTCCTTAATTCATGTTCTGTACCATGTGTACTCTAGGTATTCCTCCGATTATGAACTAAGATATAGTTTTATATATATGGAAATAACTGAGTGGTAAGATATTCTTTAGGCACTCATTTTATGAACTAATATATGATTATATATAGAGGATTATATAAAGGGAAAATAACTGAGTAGTAACACTATGAACTGAGATATTCTTCAGGCACTAATTGTGCCAGCATTCTGCTTAGCTCTCCTTCCTAGGTGCCTATATGGGGGGTTACCCACATTTGTGGTCAAATTATCTACATGTACCTATTACCCTAGGTCCATAACTATGCTTCCTACAATGAAAAATGGAGGATAAAATGCAGAAAGGAGGTTCTTCTCCACCCCTCCATTTAAAGTTCATTCATCATTGACAGAGTTACTCAAACTACTTTTTCCTTTAATATTCACACAATTTAACATTCTGTACTATGCTACTTTAAGAAGAAAACACTAAGCAATAGTTTTTATTATTATCCTATGGTTTCCTTTATATTATCTTTTTCCATGCTAATTTTAGCAAAGTTAATTACACAACAAAATATTCTTGTTTGCTTTAGAAACAAGTTTTGACCACATATTGATGTATAGCTTCATCTTACTTTTATGTCCTTACTCAGAAACCCAGGAGCATGATAGATATTTCTATCTACAATTTGGTTTTAGATCCCATACAAAATGACTAATGCAGATGTTAAATGGGGAAAATGTATGATTTATGTTTAAACTTAACTACAATTCTCACGTTTTACCATTACTATAAAACATGTTTCCACCAGGGACTCTAGCTCTTAACTTTGTTACCTCAAGATGAAAGTTGTGACTACCTAGAAAGTAATTTCATAAAGTAGTGGTTACTATCATATCTACTCTAAATGCAAATTGTAGTGTTGTGATAATGAAAAGGTCGAAAGATTAGATGATTGTTTGTCACTGAAGGCCAACCCTCTCACCTTCAAAAGAAAATTACATAAATAATTTTTGTGGTTTTAATGATAGAAAACACAGTACTAATTAACGTCTTTCCAAGGTGAGAAAGCTTCAAAACATCCTTGTCAACAGGCTTTCTTCCATCATAATATCTGGCCCATGAAAAATATTAGCAAAAATTGTATAATCATGGAAATCTTACCAAAGTGCTGTACATAATTCAGGTGCTCATACGTACACTGAATGAAACAAATAAGGGCTGTTAAGTAGTTATGATTTTGAGGCTAAAGCCTTAAACAGAATTTTCATGTCTTTTTAGAAACATTGAATTTCCATCTTTTGAATACTGCAATTCAAGTGAGCTCATCTAATATATATCCAGTTTTTTACATTTTAATCTGAGAAATGAGTATATAACTTAAAGTGTGCATTTCTTTGGTCACTTGAAGAGGAAACAATATGAGAATAAATGAAAACAAGTTCTGTACAGAAATCAAGTAATAATCAAAAGGTCAAGGAATAAGGGCTTCATATAATCATTATATTCAGCCCCACTTACACCAACAACAACAAATGAGCCAGAGACACTAACAAAATCTTATCATTAAAACCACCACATGATTATCCATATATTATTATCTGTACTTTGCACTCAGATTCAGTCATACAGATTTACTAGTGTATTAGCCTTTAGGTATTTGAAAAAATAACATTGAACGCACATCCTGCATTTCCTAAAGCATTTTACTGTGAACAATAACTTGAGTGCAAAAATGAGAAGAGATTCATCAGAATTTCAAAGTAAAACCCTATGCATCACCTAATTCTATTGAAAAAGACGCTCATGGCAAATTTCACTTATCACTTGAAACATATTTCTGCCCTTGGATACCAGAAACAAATTAAAAAACATGTTGTTGCTCTGCTATGGCAGAGCTGCAATGTGTTATGTTTAAATAGTTCAGCATTCAGATTTAGCTTGCTTCAAGTACAATATAGAATCAATACAGTCATAGAATTCACAGCAAAATGCATTAGTAATTGCCACTGGAATTACTGTACTGAAATAGCATTAATAGGATAGCCAAATAACTTTAGAATACATTTTCCAATTAAGACCTGTTTTCTGCAGTGGTCAATTTATGAAATTTAAAATGAATGATCTAAATGTGTATGTGTGTATGTACATACATATGTACACATACACACAAAATCACTGTATGTGTATATATACATACACACGAATGCACACATATACACACATAGAGTGATTTTATCAACTTTAGATATTATAAGCTTTTTCTTTACAGAGATGTAAAAGATGCATTTTGCTATTTCAAAAATGCAATTTTTTCTTACCAAAAAAACAAAATCAAAGCTTAAGACTATATTTGGAAGTGCAATAGGAAGTAAACAGAGCAAAATACTCCATTAAAATACAAAGTTTCCTGTGAATAACACGTCCTTTCAATGAACTTTACTTTCAAGTCTTGGGACTCACAATCAGATTTGATTAAAGCTCCTATTAAGTGACATCCTTTACTTTAAATGAAGCTATACAATAGCAATTATGAGGCAGGTTACATAGTTTGCATCACCTGAAATTATGAAAAAAGCTAACTGAATTTAAAAATACTGCTAAAACTTTCATGCAAGCAGACACCAGACATGTAGCTTTAATGTAAACTTAACTCAAGCTGTGACTATGCTAAGTTGTGCCTTCTTCAAAATCTGAAATTTTCATCTGACAAACCACATTTTGAGCAGAATACCTGCAACATGCAGTCAATTTTTAGTACGTACACAAAGGCTCAGGACTGGATTGGATTACCTCAGAGCTTTGTATCCTTTGTTTTGTTTGCAATAATGGAAGTGTCTCATTTCTAATGATGAATAGTTTTAAAATATATATTTAATACTAAGTGGGTAATACATATAAAGATTGGTTTCTGAATAGTCTACATGAATACAATGAGGTAATATGAAGATCTGAGGTTTGCTCATTTTTAAGCAGAATAACACTAAGCTCATCGCTCATTCTTTTGGTGCCAGGAAAATCTCCCTACTTACAGATTTGGCAGTGGCAGAAATATACTGGACAACCATCTCACGCTTGGTGGTAAAATCTTTGTTTCGCAAAGGCGCTTTTTTTTCTTCATTAAGGTTCATGTCCTCCTGTAAGAAATAAAATTTACTGTGAGCATTGATAAATTTCCACTTAAGAGCTTCAAAAGTGATTAATAAATATTAATAATTTCTATGTCTTGAAATACTAATCCATGCGGTGACTAACATTAAAAATCCTTTTTTGGGATACTTCACTATTATTTTACACTCTAGATACCACAGTTTTGTGTAAATTGTACCATGCATTTATGGTTCACATCTCTACCTAGCCAACTACTGAGCAGAAAGAAAAAAATATTTTTAAAACTATTCCACAGAATAAATTGACAGTTTATGCACAGATGTACATGATATCTATGCTAACAAGGTTCTTTATTTACCTTGATAACAAACACACACACAAGATAGTGTTGTATATATGCTCCCTTAGGATTGCTATTATCTGGGAAAGCAAATATAATTTGCAAATTGGCAGGGACTATACAGCTATAATATGTCACTGAAAAAAATTCACAAGAAGTTGTTAGATTTGGAAAACAAACAAATAATCAGAAACATAGCTAGTTGTATTGCAGTAACAAACATCACTCACTAGAGGGAAAAATATTCAGTTACAAGAACACATTGTTTTGAGGTTCAATAAACCTTAATTTGGTTGGAAATTAACCTTTATTTTGTAATATACACACATAACACTTTCACTAGACAAATTGTTTTTCTTCACTTTGAAATTCATGCTAATCCTTCTGACACAGAAGACACCCTTGACAGGGTCACAAAACCAAGTTTTGTGATTGTGATTCAAAATGCAATACCAAGTGAAAAGTCAACCTACAGAATAAGTGAAAATGTTTACAAATTATATGTGTAATATAGATGTGTACACAGATATACAGATAACTTTTACAACTCAATAATAAAAATATGAAAGCCCAATAACAAATAAGCAAAACACCTGGATAGGCATTTCTCTAAAGAAGATATACAAATGGCCAATAAGCACAGGAGAAGATGTTTAATATCTAGTAGAGAAATGCGAATCAAAACCACAATGAGATACTACTTCACTTCTACTAGAATAGCTAGAAAAAAAAGATGAAAATAATAAATGTTGGCAACGAATTGAAGAAATTGGAACCCTCACACATTGCTGGTGGGAACGAGAAATGATACAACCACTTTGGAAAACAGTCTGGCAGTTCCTCCAAAAGTTAAACAGATTTATCTACCATATGACCCAGCTTACATACCCAAGAGAAATGAAAACATATGTCCACACAAACACTTGCACATGAATGTTCATAGCATCATTATTGATAATAGCCAAGGAGTAGAAACAATCCAAACATCCATCAATTGATGAATGGATAAACAAAATGTGGCGTATCATACAATAAAATATTATTTAGCGCTAAAAAGGAATGAAGTCCTGATACATGCTATAATCTGGATGAATCTTGAAATCACATTATGCTAAGTGAAAGAAGCATCATAAAAGACCATATATTCTATAATTCTATTCATATTAAATGTCCAAAATAGGCAAATTTATAGGGATGAAAAATAAATTAGAGGTTGCCAGGGCCAGGGGAGAAGTGTAGGAAGTTTTGGATTACGACTGATTATGAGTATGGTGTTTATGGGGTGATACAACTGTTCTGAACTTTTTTGCTGTGATAGTTTCACACTCTTTGAATATACAAAAAAAAATATCTAAGAATTTGGCCAGGCATAGTGGCTCAGTGTTTTGGGAGACCCAAGTGGGAGGATCACTTGAGCCCAGCAGCTCCAGGAGTTTGAAACCAGCCTGGACAACATGGCAAGACTTCGCTTCTACAAAAACTTTTAAAAAATTATCTGGACGTAGTGGTGTGTGCCTGCAGTCCCAGCTACTTAGGAGGATGAGGTGAGACGGTTGTTTGAGCCCAGCAGTGAGCTATGTTCCTGTCATTGTACTGCAGCCTGGAAATCAGAGCAAGACCCTGTCTCCAAAAAAAAAAAAAAAAGAGAGAGAGAGAGACAGAGAGAGAGAAAAAGCACATTGTAAAAGGATGAATTTTATGGTATGTGAATCATATCTAATTTTTTTTAAGAAAAATATCAGTATTTTTATCCCTTTACTCATACAGAAATTCTGAGCATTCTGTTTCTTTAATCAAAAAAACTAATTGGCAAAGAACAGTATCAAAGTTATTTTAAAGATGTATATGTGAGAATGTGGAAGACAAAGAATCCTTAAAAGTAAACAAATTGCATCTATCTACTGAATAGTAACTTCGTTGACAGCAAAAATCTGTATTTGCAACCACTGCAGTGACTCCTATGATGATTCATTCATAGTCAATACCTATAAATTGTATGTACATATACATGACCTCTCTTCCTAATTACCTGGATCACTGTCTCTATTCCCACTTTTCTATCGAATGCTATTTCTCATTTGGATATTTTACTTGTTAATGACTTACTAGAAAGGTAGAAGATACCTTTTTCCTCTCTCTCTCATAGGCTCTGGCATTGTTGAATCGAAGTAGAATCACAGAAATAGGTTAGATATCACTTATAATGCTGTCCACAGATGCTCAACTATGTTCTGTACCTATTTCCCTTTTTTTTTTTTTTTTTTTTTTTTTGAGGTGGAGACTCACTCTGTTGTCCAGGCTGGAGTGCAATAGTCCAATCTCGCCTCACTGCAACCTCTGCCTCCCAGGTTCAAGAGATTCTTGGGATTACAAGCACACACCACAACACCCAGCTAATTTTTTTGTATTTTTAGAGACAGGGTTCCGTCATGTTGGTCAGGCTGGTCTCAAACTTCTGACCTCAAGTGATCCACCCACCTCGGCCTCCAAAGTGCTGGGATTACCAGAATGAGCCATCACGCCCAGCCTCTGTATCTATTTCAACTGACAGGGAACTCCCTACCTCCTCAGGGAGCCCCACTCCTGTTAGGGGAGTTTAATTTTTGCCAAATTTTTCCTTTGATGACTGGACATGAAATATGTACACAAAATATTAATTGTGTGTTAAGGTGGGTGGTGTGACTTTTTTCTCTACTTTTAAAATTCTGAATCACTTATTTACTAAACACATATTACACACCAGAAACTATGCCAGGCTATCTAATCTGGTAGACTGTTTTTATACTCAAATTAAATATTAAATATTATTTATAGAGCACTTAGAACAATGTCTGATACTTAGGAAATGCTATATATGTTTGTTGAATAAATAATTCATGGTCTAGTGGGAACAAATAATTCTAACTGAGGCATATACTGGATTATTTGGAAACACAGAGGGCAGACGGAAAGGTCAGAGAAGTCTTCACCAAGTTGTGGGTCTCAAAGGATGAAAAAAACCTGACTAAAAGGAGGGAGACCAGCCAGGAAACTCTAGCGGTCATCTGTCATTTTCCGCTACCCAACATCACTTGAACATGCCCTCTACAATTTAATACATCCTCACATTGTCAGCCCCACCTGACAAAGGTAGAATCAATAAAAACTACATTTGTCAGTCTCCCTTTTAACTAGAATGCAGACATGTGGCTTAGTCTCCACCAATAAAACACATGCAGAGGACATGTAGATTTAGAAGTGAACCATGTGAGGAAGCAGGCCACAAATAGGCCATCTATTTTGCTGATGTAGGTGGCAACAGAGGTGATGTTGTTACAGAACTGATGGCATTAGCTGTGTCTTTTTCATTAAGACATTTTGATCAAATAGTTCTGGGGTAGGAGCTCCTTAATTGGAACTGTATTTCAGTTGTGTGGTTCTGGAAACTATTCCTATAATGTTATCTGGAGCATGTTTCTGCAACTCTCTTAATTCAAGAACTTCCTAACATCCCTAAAATTATATTGTATTTAAACCAGTCAGAGTGGATTTTTGTGTTCAATAATTGGGGCTGAAGTAATTTAAGTGACTAGAGATAAGAGTCAAACTAAGAAGAAATGTCAGATTGGACAGAAGGACATTAATTCAAGAGCCACATAAATGTTATTTGAAGACCACATTCTTTCTTTCAGGCTAAAGTATTCAATTTATCTTCATGTAACACAGGCTGGTGTCCACATTTCTTCTCTCAAACACTGTGTGGTTTAACAAAAGCAAGGAAGGAAAGAACGTCCACCTCCCTCACCTTGAAATACTTACACCTCTATTAATTCAGCCTCTGATTTTATTATCTTACTGGCCAAATACATCATTCTGCTGACTCACATTGTTTGTGCTTTTGTCAAAATCCCTATGCTCTGTTCACATATGTTGGGCTCTATCTCTATTGCCGAAAAAAAATTCTGGTTAGGGCCGGGCGCGGTGGCTCACGCCTGTAATCCCAGCACTTTGGGAGGCCAAGGCGGGCGGATCACGAGGTCAAGAGATCGAGACCATCCTGGTCAACATGGTGAAACCCCATCTCTACTAAAAAAAAAAAAATACAAAAAAATTAGCTGGGAATGGTGGCGCGTGCCTGTAATCCCAGCTACTCAGGAGGCTGAGGCAGGAGAATTGCCTGAACCCAGGAGGCGGAGGTTGCGGTGAGCCGAGATCGCGCCATTGCACTCCAGCCTGGGTAACAAGAGCGAAACTCTGTCTCAAAAAAAAAAAAAAAAATCTGGTTAAATTTCAGTCTCCGGTAAATGTAGTTATCATCAATCCGCATCCTCCAAGTAGAATCAACTCTGGAACAATGACAAGATTAAGTGCCTGTGTTTGTATACTTCACAGCCTGGCCTAAGAGTGTGATAGTACCACATTTGGCAGTCTCTAAGTAGAGAGTTTATTCTGCTTCCAGTGACATTTCTTCATTACTACATACCCATTCAATTTTTAATGAAACACATTGCTGCTATCACTCCATCACAGTAGAATTATTTTGTAGGGAGGCAGGCAGGACAATAAGAGCAATGTAAGATTATACACCTCAGAGGAATGTTGTCAAGCCTGAGTGTGATCATGCATGACAAGCCTGGTGTATATTAACTAGCTTTCAAAGAATGCTAGCTATTAGTGTTATCATCTCCCCAACCTCATCATTTTAAC